AGTTATCAGATAATAATTAATAGATACTAGAGGAATAGTTACTGTTGCTAGATCAAATTGAAATAAGCCAAGAAGACTCCTAAATTGCCTTTTAGTAAGTCCAACACTCCCAGGAATGCCTCAGCAGCAGAAATACACTTTCCCAGGACTTCTGTGCCCACAAGATGCCGCTCCCACCTAGGGTTCCCGCTGCTGCATACTCCTTTAAAGGTGTACAGCCAGAGACCATAAAGCCAGGAGACTGACCAAATGTCACTCACTGTTTCTACTAAAACAAAGTGATAATTGCAGATAGTTTTATGGATCCCAGACATACAGGGCTCCATGAAACAATGCACTCATGCTCATAATTAAAAGATATTCAGCAAAGGTTATTTTAAGTAGCAGGGGGAATTTACTGACTAAGATAGATGGTGTAGTTTCCTTCTTCTCACATGGGGAGTAATATGAAAGATCATTAGAAAGCAAGATTGGAGGTGGCAAGGGAGCTGGCCCCAACCAATTTCCGGCTCCTCTCTCCTGGGAATTCCATGAAAAAGCAGCTCTCTCTGTCCTGGAGAGCTGTTTATTTGGGCAATTAACAAAACATAAAGGGGTCTTTTAAAAATAATGGGCAGCTGCCAGGGATACTTGGTCTTGCCCCTAACTATCTGTTGGCTCACACCTCGCGCTTTTACCCTTTCCCACTTACCCTGCCTGAAAACAAATACCTCCTGGAGAGTTTCTCCACTTAGACCCAAGTTCTGAATATGGGTGAAGACTAGATAAGGGACCCGCAACATTCTGAGTGCTTTTATAAATAAGCTTTGTTTAGATTTACTGTCATTAGAAAAACAAAATAATGTCAAGAAAGTCTATGTGTGCCACAGTGAATTTAAACCAAGAAAGATCTGGCATAAGTTGTAGAGCCCTGGGATCACTGTTGGTCCTCAGGTAGCAGCAGACACTGATAGTTACTGGGGAGAAAAAGGCGTGTGAGTTCCCGCCACTGGGAGGCTCACAGGCTAGCAGGGGGAGACAGACTGGTGGGTGATCATTTTACAAACATTTACCCTGTGTACACAACTGTTAAGGGCAATCGTGAAAGACAAAGAATAGTCTTAAAAGGCTAGAAATTCACAACAACCTATCTAGTTCTGCAGCTAATGCTATAACATACCATCATATATGCTATCATCTCATATGCCTTATTTCCTCCACCTCCAGAGTAGATAACAAGCACTTCAAGAATACCAAAATTTATAATTTTCCCTATGATGTTTCGACATTAACCAATAGGTACCTGACACAGCAAATATACCAGTTATTGTAAACTTATATTCATTTGGACCAATCTTTATCATGGGACAAAAAAACAAAATGAAAAATCAATACATTTCTTTCATTCAAAGTAGATTAACATGTCTAAAGTTTTTCTTCAAATTATTCTTAAGTCTCCAAACTTATATGGTTAAGACAGTTTTAATTCTAACCTCATATAACTACTGAGCATTTTAAATAAAGTATTTCAAGAACATCAAAATATAGAAGGTATGTTATAAACACCCAAGTACATCCCACCACATTAATAATGATCCTGTAGTACCCTCTCCAATCCCATTTCTTTAATTCCCTCCATTGATATGGAAGCTCTATTGTACATATCAATGCATTTGTTTCCCATGCACGTTTTTACAGTTTGACTTCCCATGCATATTTTTATACTTTTGTTGTAAATGTTTATATTCAGAAGCAATATAATATCTTGTTTTGCATTTTTAAAAATCTTACAGTGTAATACTATCTTGTATCTGGAATTTGCTTATAGATTTTGCTCATAATTATACTTTTGATAATTACACTCATTCATTCTACCTGCTATTTAGTATTTCATTGTAGGACTACATCATGATTTAGTCAAAGGATACATAGATTTTGACAGGTAGCTGACAGGATGGGGAATGGAAAATATGGCAGCTTTAGTTCCAAGGAGAAAGAGAAAGTGCTGGGAGAACCTGGGATCAAGAGCCTTGGCAAATGACTAGTCTTTGAAAGGAAAAAGAACAAGCTCAAATGCAGCTTCGTAGAAAACCAGACTAGAGATGGGATATGGAGCCTTGGAGTTGGTAAAGGGCTGGAAAAGCCTCTGGAAAATTGACCTGGGATAACTTGTTATTTAGTAACATTTTGCTTGGAAGGCAGCTCCCCTGATTTCTTTTATCTGTTGGCCTCTGCACCATAAAAAAAAAAAGTCAGCCATTGCCTTTGCAAGCTTTTAAACCTTATATGAAACACTAACTTCCAGATAGTTCTTGAGAAAATGATCATAAAATTATAGATTAGCAGATTTTTTAGTTACTTTTTCCTAGACACAATACAGTTTGCTTTTTTATACTTTTAATTACTAATAAAAAGAGAGGCCTGTTTTCTGTGTTTTTACTTATAAAAACTTTAACACATTTATAAACTTTATATACATATATAAAGTTTTTATCTATATACATATAAAACATATATTTTTAAAATATGATCCCAGACATAAATGAGCTTTAAGCTTATTTAAAGCAAAACTAATTTTTTAAAAAATTGAATAAATGCATAAGTGTCTGAATAATGAAAATGCATTTTTAAAATATTACCTTTCAAGACATATAATTAGAAGAGGCAGATACAACAAAATCAGATGACTCCTTCCAAGAGAACAGTCTTTCTAAAGGTACATACACCCTCTGACAATCTCAATCACATTGCTGTGTAAGCGCAGACAATGAGGAATACGTCACACTGTGCAGTTGCTCACTGTTAACATGGAAAGAAGACTCAACAGAACAGCAGTATCAAATCCTCAATCTTTCTGGGAGGCATTTAGGCAGGAGGCATCAATGCAGTAAATAAACTGAGGAAATGTTCACAGGTTTAATAATCAGGTAGCATTATGTTGGCTAGCGCCAAAACCTAATGAAGACATACTGTGCCCTTAGTCATTAGGTTTGTATTAAAATCACTCTAGCATTTATTTTTTTAAGTATTTTTGTTTGCTTAAACTCATAAAAGAACTTTGCATAAAGAGTAATTACGAGCATTCTGTATGGTGGTCACTGAAAATGCTGAGCGGCATTAAGTCCCAGAACATCTATATTACACATCATTAATTCTTTGGGGAATATTTGTATTTAGTAGAAAATACAACATAGCATGTTTATTTTTGTTTTGCTTCACTTGGAAGTATTTCTTTTTCCAGGTCCACTATAAAAAAGTAGAGGTTGTTATATATGCTATGCTTTATTCCCATCATTTGATAGATCAATCCATTTTTATGAGGGAGAAAATTTCAAATGGTTTAAATGTAATTCTATCTTTCTTCTAAGGATTCCAAACATGGACTCCAAACAAACTTATGCCATCATCCTTTTCCTCCACTAAAGATCAAAGATGCTCTCAAATAGACAGATTTAAATATTTTCTTTATCATATATTTCCTCCATCAACTCATGGCTATCAACTAACATTAACAGAATTGAGACTTCAGAAGTGCAAAAGGAGATACGGCCCTTAAACATATGGGGGGATTTAATTTGCTAACATCCCCTTAATCATGATTTGAAGGAAACATTAACTCAAAAAGAGGGGGAAAAAAGTACAATCTATTATAAAGACTACAAGAAAGATTTGATAGAAGTTCTAAAGTTTTGAAACAGAATTTAAAACCTAGGATGCTTTACGCATTAAATAAAAGTACAAGAGAAAAGAGATTTTTCTTTCATAAAGGTAGTTCATAATATTTTACTTTGATTTTTCTTGTTTCTTATTTCTCATCATGATGGGAAATATCAAAACAGTTGTACTTTTCCAAGTTTAGGGAAAAGAGTACTAATCGTGATGCAGAGGAAGGGAAGCATTTTCTATGGCACACTGGTAGGCCATTAACCTCTAATACACAAACATATAGGCTGGGAGCTAATGGAAATTTATTTAGGCACATTCTTCAAAAATAATGATCCAGGATCCTCCTAGGAGCTTAAATTTGTAAAAAAAAGAAAAACCCAAAAAACGTTGGGACCAAAACGGATAGTAATGATGTGATATGCACATGGCTGATGAAGTTTTTGGTTTCTAGATGCAAAGGCTGAAATCTTCCAAAATTTGGTCAACAGAATGAATTCTATCTTTCAATGGTCACTATATATATTTCTAACCCCAGTTAGGATTTGCATTTGCATAAGTTTACCTTCAATATTATGCTTATTTTTTAAAAAGGATGCTGTCCCATCCACTAAATTAGGTGCCATACCAAATATTTCTAGACCAGTCTTTACACAATATTAACCGATAACAAATCTTCCTTAAATTTATAAAGGGCAATGAATTTCATTCTACCACTTGCTAATGAAAAGTACTATGACTTATGCAAACATATTATTAGCCTTAAAAAGGTTGAAACACACCAAAAAGAACTCAAGTCAAGGTTCATAAATCTGCTATTTTAATACAACAGCATTACATGGATCAGTTCAGTAAGATCTAGGTCTAATAATGGAACATTTAGCCTCATCAATTCAAATACAAAAATATGTCAGTTACTCTGCATAAAATCAACAGTACAAAGAACAATAGTAGATTTTCCAAATCACAGAAGAGCACTAATTTTTGATTCAGATCAATTTGTACTATCTGCAGATCAAATAATGTTTTTACTTGATTACTTAATAGAATTTTCTTTTAATTTAAATCAAGATTCTCCCAGGAATAAATATCAATTTTGGCTTACAATGTTCATTAGGAACAAACCCTCGACACTTTTCAAACTATCTTGAAATCAGTAATATTTGGTATTTATAAATAAATGCAAAGTTGTTTGCTTTCTTAATTCAATGGATTATCATTAATCTTCCATTTGCCACAGAAAACCTAACAAGTCAAAAGAATAATCACATTACAAACTGTCCCAAAAATAAATAAATAAAGAATGAATGAGTGAATGAGTAAATAAATAAATAAGGAAACGGGATTTTGTTACTTACAAACTTCCTCTTCTGGGGAGACTCAGCTCCTTCTGCAAAAGAAAAAACAAAACATACATGTGAGATACTACATTAACCCTGGACTACTTAGGACACCAAATGGGTAACATAAAATATATCATCCTTCACTGTGCTTGATTTGGCATTTTCTATACTGAAAAGATTTTAAACTTACAATTTTATGCTGAATTCCTTCCACATTGTTCTCTTTATACTTTGTACTTAAAGTACAAATACAGTTTATCTAAATTCCAGAAAAGACATTAAGCACCAACTGTAAAATACTGAGTTGTGTTACATGGCCATATAATTGAGCATAAGGAAAATCTGAAGAATCAAAGGATTTATCCGAAGATGAAACAGATATAAAGAGGAGGAGAAATTTTGCAGGATTATAGTTAAATAAAAGGTGAAATGGAGATGTCAGTTAAATCATACTATTCGCTCCCAACAGAAATAAATTCATATAAAACATTATGAATACCAAAATTTACACTTTAAAAGAAAAGCATAATATTTTCTTCTGGTATTGTTTCTTAAAACAAATGTGATTTATGACTTAGGATATTTAAAAGTAGGTTAATGAACCTCTAAAACGATAACCAGACGGCAACACAATTAATAGAGTGCTTTGTAGATTTAAAATTGTGCTCGCACACTTACAGAAAATAAAGATCATGATCTATCTGACTATAAAGAGGCTGTGAAAGAGAAACAGAGAAACAAACAAGCCAACAGCCCAACCAACTAAACAGGAAAAAAGGGAGGCAGAAATCCCTCCATCCACTAATGAAGTGGTCTAAAGCCCAGGCCCTCAAAAATGATGACTTGATGACAATAATTAAAGAACAGGAAGCAATGAGTCATCTGGCTATTTACACTCAAGAAGAGCACACTGTAAATTTCAAAGACTCGATGAAATTTAGTTTTTCATTCCCATAATTATCATTTATTTTCTTGCCTTCCAGGAGCCCGAGCATCATCTTTTGAAAGGTGATTCCCCCACAGCTACAAACTCACTTTTCTTGTCCCCTATTTCTATTGGATCCTTAAATGTTTGTCATGGACGGTGGACTCAGATCTGTCTTCTAAACAGTGCAATTTACTCTAGCACAACCTGCAGAAAATGGCCTTGAGAACAGCAGATTAGAGGGGAGGATGCTGCTTTAAATATAAGATGCCTGACTTATTAATGGGTAAATATATTTTGAAAGTTATAATAATCATATCACTGGTTAATTGCAAGAAGACACCATCAACAATTTTAGAATTAGAGTATCTTCTTCCTATTTCCAATAACTATTTTGGAAATTTTCTTTTCAAGGGCTGCAGTGTTCAGTGGAGAAATGCTTCATTTCTGTTGTTGTTTCGCTTTTTTCTTTCATCCTCAAGAAATCACAGTGTTTGCTAAACTTGGGTGCCTTATTCTGAAACACAAATATACCTCATTTACTAAAGCCCCTCACGACAAGAGAAAAGCCTCTGACTGAAACAGTTTTCCTCGGAAACTGAAATCTAAACAGGAAACCAATAAGTAATTTTCTATATGTGTATCTTTGGTTATGATAAGCATTGAGAAATCTGTTTTGTATGCAGGTTAAAAAAATAAAAGGAAAAAGAGAAGAACTACCCAGAAGTAATTGTTTACCAGACTGTTTTTTTGGAAAGGAATTACAGAGACCCACTGCATAGCAAAAGGCCTAGAGCACAAATGAGTAAACTGCTGTCTGGTAAGCTGATCTGACAGCAGCTTAAAAAGAAAAGGAGGGATGCTTGAGGTGTTATCATTAATAACAGAAAAAATAAGTCAGATGTTATCTCAACTCTACATGCAAATAGATCACTCAGAAGATATAAGAGGGAAAAGGCCAAATGAATGATCCCCAAATAGTTCATTCAATCATATTCCACCAAATGACCCGACCGTAAGCTGGCTGCTTTACTCTGAGAAGCTGCTGAGAAAGCAAGATAAGGGATACAAACCAACCCTGTGTTTAATCAGAAGCCTTTCCAATCGGTCCAGAATTATGAGTTCTAAACAAGAAGAAAGGTTACAGTGGGTAACCCAGCACTGCTGCGCCATGGGACAGCAGCTGAGGTTCCAAGATGAGGAGCAAAGGACATTTAATAGGCCACTGTCAACTGACCTGAAGTTTCCATGCTAACCAAGCCGAAGGAGCTAATCCACCTGACGGCTTGAATGTCAGGCGCGGGACTGGAAACTCAATTTGGTAGCAAATTGGAATCAGATGTGATGGTAATAAAGTGAGAGAAATGAATGTGCTGTGGCCAAGACCTTGTGAACAGTAGCTGCAAAAGGCTGCAAATATCAGGAGGGCTAAGCAACTGCAGGCTGAGCAAGGAGCAGCTGCTTGGACACCACACACTGGTAAGTCTGCACCAGTCAGACATAAATGACAGCATCATGGCATTTACTGCCCAAGCCCCTCTGGCACTGTGTGTGTATATCATTTTATTTTCTTAATGTCAGGATAAGGTCATTAACACATACTTAGATAATTAGATAAGACATATGATATTGGTCCAAGTCATAAACCAAAGGTGTGTTCAGTATATTTGGAACGTACATTAAAAGTTCAGTATCAGGTAAGAATTAGAGGGAAGAAGAGAGAGAAAAGAGAAAAAAAGGCTAAGAAGCATCAATCTAAACAACAAGTAATTATTAATCACCACAGTTTTAAAGAAGTTGTAAGAATATATTTAAGAATATTACTATGTTTACAATTATTTTCATTGATATTGATTTTTCAGCGACTTGAGTTCACAGAATTGCTGTGTATCATTACTTACTTGTATTATGATCTCCTTTGCCCCCCTTTTGAAAAGTGCTAACTAGCAAAAACATACGTTGAAAATAAAGGTGAGGAAGAGTTAATCCTGTCTGAAAACTCTATTATCTTTTTGTGATCTCTTGATAAGACTGAGGATACATGAAGGTTTCTCAAATCCAGGAAGAGAATTCCTAGAGTCCAGGAAGAAAAGAAGGCCAAGGGCAGTAAAAAAATGATTCTGCCCCTTTCCCCCGGCCAACCTTTGTCTCAGAAGGAGAAAATAACAGGTTTCTTTCATGAAGGCAATGGAGAAAACTGCAATGCTTAATACATACAAGCAATTTCTACAGTGGTGATTTTTAAATACCATTCAATAAGTATTTAATAGCTATACATACACAAATAAAACAATATGGCTATACATGCCACAGGTGTTCAGGGAAACTCTGAACTATTCTTTTTAACTGATGTGTCACTTCATGATTATAAAGGGTAAGAAGATTTACATATATTATATTACAAATAACATATGTAGATACTTGGAGCTTAATTATTCTCCAGAGTGGGCTGGACTTAGTGACTCACTTCCAAAAATAGAGTAGGGAAAGGGAATAATAGCAACTTTTCATAGAGAAACCTGATGGACATGGTCTTAACCAAGTGATCAGGGTTCACAACACCAATGCTAAATCATGTTGACACTGTGTGCCCCTGATATGATGTGATAAGGGATTTCACCTCTGTGGTATTCTCCCTAAAAATCCTTCACTCCAGTCTAATCATGAAAATACCTGTGGCATCTACAGCCATATTGTTTTATTTGTGTATGTATAGCTATTAAATACTTATTGAATGGTATTTAAAAATCACCACTGTAGAAATTGGCTTGTATGTTATTAATCATTGCAGGTAAACCCTGACTGAGGGTCATTCTACAAAACATCTGATAAGTACTCTTGAAAACTGCCAAAACTATGAAAAACTAGCAACAATTGAGAAACTGCCACAATCAGAGGAGATGAAGAAGAAATGAGAACTAAATGAAAGGTAGGATCTGGGGTCATAAAAGAGACATGAGTGGAAATCCTACTGATGCCCAAATAAAATCTATAGTTTAGTTAATTGTAATGTACCAATGCCAATTTCCATTTTGACAAACGTATTAAGGTTATATAGGATATTAACTTTAGTGGAAACTGGTGACAGGGTATACAGATTCTCTGAACTTTCCTTGCAGCTTTTCTGTAAATCTTAAAAGAATTTCTAAAAATTGTTGAAATAATTTATCTCAAAAGAGAAGAGACAGAAGAAAGAAAAAAAGGAAGATGGGTGGGGATGGGTGTAGGCTAGAGAGGGGAGGAATGAACAAACAATATGTAAATATTGTCAGCTTATTCTAAGGCAATATTTAGATTGCATTTTTTAAGGAGGTTATAGAAGTAGCTGAAGTGAAAGAAGATGGAGGCTAGGACCATCACTGAAGGTGATGAGCAGTGGTCAGGGGTTGGAGGTATGGTTTCATAGAATTTACAAAACTGGATGTGAAATATGAAAGAGAAAGCAGGGAAGAGTCAAGGTCTTTGGCTTGAGCAGATACAGTTTGAGGGAAGAACAAATCCGTTTGAACGTGTTGTGTCCAACATGTCTGAAGAATTCCAAATAGAAATTTCCAAACAGGTGGTTGTATATAGGACCCTGGGGTCAGGAGAGAGGTCAGGGCTGGAAACGGAGTTCAGAGTCATCATCACAGAGGACAATATTGTTAGGCAGAGAGACAGACAAGAGCAGTTGGCGAAGAGGAAGGTAAGTTTTAAGGAAAAAACCCCACACAAACTGCGCAGGTAGGGGTCCCACATGAGGCAACAAAGGCTTCACAGGCAGGTAACTTCTCACCTATCAGAACCAGGCCGAACCAGGTCCCAGCATGGGCACAGTCCAGCAAAACTAAGAACCACCCAAACCACACCTCCTCGTAATTTCTTTAAAATAAAACTGTGGTTTTTCCCCACTCCATGGGCTTTTCTGTGTACATTTTGGGAAAAGACATGAGCATCAAGAGGAATGGGGTGTGTAACTGAGCTGTCAATCAAACAAGCTGTCAATCAAACAACCTCATCCTGTCAATCAAAAGTGCCCCAGCTAGGACATGATAAACAGACCCTCCTGTAAAAGTTTGATGCCTTTGTCTACTTTGACTCTGGCCCACTCCTCCCTTGGAGTGTATATTCAAATAAAACTTT